TTGCAACCGCGGCAAAGTTTGATCCAAATTTTGAATGCAGGCAGCCAGATCCTTGTTAGGAAGACGGTAATAGACTCCAACATCAAGTGTGAAACTATTAATGACAACCGAGATAATCAGACTTTCATAACAATTAGATTGTAACATGCCAATATTTATGTCTAGGAGTGTACATCTCAAATCATTTTTCACGTAGAATGCAACCCCTCCCCCGCGAGACGGGCGATCACGTCTAAAAATTAAATATCCATCTATTGTTACTGATTCATCTGGCACATCACTAGATAGGTAGGTTGGCGTTTGTTAAGAAATCTACGTTGATACTCCCGAGAATCCGCTAAAGCATTTTCATTACAGAACCCGTACATGAAAATAATATCGGCGTACTCATCATTGCTAAATTCCATTTTACAACACTCAAAAATCGAAAAATGAAACTTTTGACTGAAAAAAAAATTAAAAATGGTAGTAGTAACGATAACAACCGTATAACATAACTTTGACAAACTATCTCCCAAGAAACGTCAAGTTGGTATCAAGGCCTTCTATTTTATTTTGAAACTAATTGTATCTCGGCTCTTCATGAATGATTTAATTTGTTTTATTTTTACGAAAACTCTGGGAAAAAACACAAGAGTAATTATTTGTGGCAAATTGAAAGTAAAATTCGAAAAATTTCGCGTTTCGGAAAAAAACAGTGGCGTACTATTTTTATTTGGAAAAATAATGCCACTAGTCCTCTGTATCTCCGCCACTGGTGCACGTTAATTTTAAGTAAAGAATTTTGAATGTGGATAACACTTAGGTAAATCCCCATACCAAAGTTTAGTTCATTCCAGTTGACAATTTTGAAGATATTAAAAAAAATTGTTTTTTATTCTTAAACTTCATCACCCCGTATCTTCTTAATGAAGCCTCGAGGAAAAAATGTTACATGAAAGACCCCGCTTAAAATGCGGACCTGTGTATAATGTTTCATTTTTGGCCACGACTTCTAAATCATCCTGTATAAGAACTTCTCAAGTTATACGCGGCTATAAGATTAGCGGACAGACCGACAGACAGACCGACGGAAATGAGTGACATGGTTTTTCGTGACAATACTTCCTCGCCATTTGGCGTCGGAAGTAGAAAAGATTGTAGTATTTTATGTCTGATTATACTGCCTAGTAAGTGGACCATGGCCATGAATAGGGACTCGTTACTCATTGGGATTAGAATTTTTAGGTAAATATTTCCTGAGGCTTGGAAGGAAGCTATTATCGTCCCTTTAGCCAAAGTCAAAAAACCATCCACTCATAATCATTTGCGGCCTGTTAGTTTGCTGTGCTTTTGTTCAAAGGTATTAGAGAAAGCAGTGTACATTCAACTAGTGGAATATACAGGGTGACTTTGCAGTTGAGTCATTAATTTTCAGATAATGATTGTAGAAGGAAGATAAACCAAAATATGTGTGTAAAAATAAAAAAATAAATAAAATAAAATGTTACCTTGTTTAATAAAGTATCGTCCCGACAAGTATTTCAGTGCGGACCTGTATTTGATCGTGCGGTATTGGAGCAGCATGCCCTGACCTGTGAGGTCTTAAGTCACCTGATTCACGAGCACTTTGTACTACATTAACAAAGGCACGAGGGGTTGGTTGCACTCGATTGGGAAACCGATTCGCATAAATCCGTGATGCATCCGGGAGCATTTTGTAAAGACTGCCCCCCCGTAAATAAGAATCATGTCCACAAGTTCAGCATTTTCGTAAACATGTGCCATTTTTGATTTCGTTTGAGCCACGCAACAAACACTTACTATTTATTCACTAACGCGTTATCGACTGACGAAAAACATCGTGATAAACGTTTCAAATTCTTTCGCTTTTTTGTTTCCGATGCGATGAACCGGTCAGGCGGATTATATCCGTTGTCGCCAAACACGAACATATTATTATTGAGACAGGGCAGTACTCAAACTTCCAAAGGGCTATAGCTTTGTTACTTTAATTTTACCAGAAAAATGGTAAAGGAAAAAAACATTTCTTTTGATCAGATCTACTCACTGTTAAAATAAATGACTCAACTTCGAAGTCACCCTGTATAGAGCAAAATAACTTTCAGGATTTCGTGCAGAACATAGCACTACTTCAGATTTGCTCCATCTAACTGACAACATCGTAGCTAACGTAGACAGACGTATTAATACCATATCAGTGATGATTGATTTTTCAAAAGCCGTTGATACAGTTAATCACAAAATCATGTTGAGCAAGCTGAAGTATATTGGACTATCTGATATTCCGCTAAGATTTTTCCAAAGCTAGTTGGCTGAAAGAAAACAGGTAGTTAAGACGGTTAGGGCGTCTCTTCTAGTACTGTGGTTTCGTCTGGCGTTCCGCAGAGGTCAGTTCTGGGATCTCTGCTATATTTAATTTACACTATAGAATTAGACTCATATTTGGAATTTGTTCTAAACAAACGTATGCTGATGACACATAATTATCATTTCACTTCAAATATGCTCAGTTAAATGAAGTGTTGTTTAAAAATATACTAAGTGACATATAAATCCGAACACCCAGTTTAAATGGTTTTATTTTAATAAAATTTTGTATAAGTACTTAATGAAGCATAATAAGTAAATGATAAAAATTTCAAAATGATTGCATTGCTTTAAAGTCCTTTGACCTTTAATAATGTGTGGTTGCACCCTGATGCATCCTCCAACGCGCCTAGGCATGCTTCTGATCAGGTGGTCAATGTCCTCCTGTGGTATCTCATTCCAGGCAACCACCAACTCCTCTCAAAGTGCTTCTAGAGCCTGAGGAGGACGTTGCAAATTGAGCAATCTCCTACCCATCATATCCCACACGTGCTCAATTGGGGATAAGTCGGGAGATCTTGGTGGCCATGGTAACAATGTGACATCATTATGTTGAAAGAAGTCTATTGTGACTCTTGCAACATGTGGTCGGATCTTGTTGGAAAGTTGGATCTGCCAGGGTGTCAAGATAGGGTAAAAGATGGGGTTCTAAAACTTCGTGGATATAACGCTGCGCGTTCATGTTACCTCTGATGAAGATTAAAGGTGACCTGGAACCATAAGCTATACCACCCCAAACCATAACTCCAACAGTGTGATGAACATGTCTTTCAACAAAAAACTGTGGATTCCTCCTTTCACCACGTCGCCTTCTAACCCTGGCACGACCATCGTGCATGCCTAAACAAAGTCGAGACTCGTCACTAAAGACAATACTTTTCCATTCCTGATCCCAGAGTGACCGTTGTCTGCACCACTCAAGGCGATTACGTCGGTGTTCTCGAGTTAAAGGGAGGACCCAGTGTGGCCGGTATGAAAACAAGCCAAAACTTCTCATTCGTCGGTAAACACTTCGCATGCCAATAGGTCTTCCGTGTTCTGCAAACCATTCATTTGCAATGGACCTGGTAGTGGAGAAACGGTCCCTTAAGGCCAATAATCTTAGGCGGCGATCTTCACGGTCTGTTGTTCTACGGCGGCGTCCAGTGCCCCTTGCTCTTTGCGTACGGCCTTCTCGAAGCCATGCCTGACAACACCTAACCACAGTGTCTATACTTCTTTGCACTCTAACTGCAATTGCTCGAAAAGAAAGTCCAGCTTCCCGAAGTCCCACTATACGGCCCCTATCAAACTCATTAAGTTGACGAAATCGTACAGGTCTCCGTACTCTAGGCATCGTAACCGATCGTAAAGGATGTCAAGAACCAAAATCCGCCAACGTTGATTCTTTACTGCGGCTGAAATATTCATTTTTAGAGCGTTAGTGAATTAAAAAAAAGCAGTATAAAAACCGGAATGTAAAACTGATAAGGCTGAAAATGTTTTCACTTGTTATTTACAGTAAGATAAATACATTCACCAACTTTTAATGAAATAAAACCATTTAAACTGGGTGTTCGGATTTATATGTCACTTAGTATAATTCTGATCTAATCAATATTACGGATTTTTGTAAAAAGCATTGTCTCAGGATCAATCCTGAAAAGAGTTCAAGTATGTGTATAATAAAATAAGGGCGCAATTGTACTCATTATAAATAACGAGCGCATCCCCATGGTAGAACATTCTAAAAACCTGGGTGTTATCTTGGACTCCAACTTGAAGTTTGATAGACACATCGGTTACCTGTCTCAAAAAACGTATGCCAAATTAAAACTTTTATACTCCAACTGGTTCATTTTAAACTTTAAAACTAGGAAAAAATTAGTTGAAAGCTTGATCCTGTCATCTATGTAACATTCCCTTAATTTATTCTATTCTTATTTGGATTCGTCGGATCGGTATAGGTTACAAAAAATTCAAAACGGCTGCTGCAGGTTTGTGTTTGGACTTCGTAAATATAGTCATGTCTCTTCAAAGATTAAAGATTTAAATTGGTTAAAGATGGAATCACAGTTTGTTTATGCTATGAAGGTGTTTGGCCATAAAGTAGTTCGCCACCGTACATTTTAGAAAAGCCAAGAGGTAACATTAATCAGAGAAATCTCAGACACAACTTAAATTTTGCGATGCCAGTCCACTACACAGCCCTTTTCCAGAAAAGCTTCACATTTCGTGCTGTCAAGTTATACAACTCTACAGATAAAATGTGACGCAGTAAAACAATAGTACCTTTCAGGAGACTCATTAAGAAGCAGCTGATGGGATATTAATAGTTCAAATGTGCATTTGTAAATTTTTTTTTCATATTTTTTCATATTTCTCTGTTGGCTCGTGTGAGCGTGTTGTCAACACGTTATCTATTCAATTCATTTACTTACATTTCTTTTTTTCTTATTATTACTATTGTTTGTTTGTGTATCGAGTTTAACTTTGTTACTCTTTCGCCACACTGATGTATGTGTAAGACATTATTTATTATTATTATTATTATTATTTATGTTGGTTTAAGTCGAAAAACCTTTTTCGGGACACTTCGCCTTTTTATACTTTGTATAAACAAAGCTGGATTGCTATTATTTTTGTTCCAGGACGTGTACATACAGCCATCGTGGCCGCTATCAATGATGATTTGCGATGCGCCACGGTGGAGTGGTATGAACAAGGTGAAACAAAAGGTAAAGAGGTTGACTTAGCCACCATACAGTCTCTCAACCCGGATATCGTCATCATGAAGCCAGGGGAACCAGAGAAGACTATTGCCCCACCACCAGAGTTTAACAAATTACAAAGGGTAAGTTTCGTACACATCGAACTTTTTGGCATTCGTTTTTTCGTTGAGGTACGTTTACATTCTAAACAAGTTGCAGGCACAGGTTCGGCAACATGTGCGTGCAGCTTGTTATAATGGAAAGTCGACTCAACATGAGACTGCCAGAATGTCTTCAGTCCAAAGGTCACTTTTTTTGCCGAAGCCGATGTTTGTCTTTTAACACAACCTAAGGTCGAAGCCGAATGTTTAGTTCAATTGAAAATATGGGTTTTATGAAAATAAAGTAGTTTGATCTGCTTCTTGTAAGTTGTAACCTCAGTTTCACTCCCAATTCAATATTGCCATAGCTAGTCACGGGTCGTATAATCTCGAAACAGACCAAAATATGTGAATTGACCTAAACATACCTTAGTCCAAAAGTTGATAGTTTGCGAGATACAGGGTGTCAAAGTTACAATTTTATTTTCTATTTTTGCTTATTGCTTTAGAAGTATTTCAGATTTTGGCATAAAACTCGGTATAGGGAGGTTTTCTAGTATACAGGGTAGCACAAAAAAGTTATGATAAGTTATTTACCGATATAGTGCTGTAAGTGGCGCCCTCTAGCAGTTTGGCCGTAAAAAATAACGGATTCTTCTTTCTCATACTAGAAAACCTCCCTATACCGAGTTTTATGTCAAAATCTGAAATACTTCTCAAGCAATAGTATAGTAGTAGTATCTTTATTAATAGCTTCAAGCTGAACAATACAATATATATATATATATATATATATAATATTATCTAAAACTAACACTATTTTCTACATAAATTCTCAATTGTCTTTTGAATTTGACAAAATTTGTAGATTTGACTTCAGCTGGTTAATTATTAAAATCTATACTATTTTGCGCAAAAGCAGACCCCACAGCAGGAACATAAAAATCGAACTTATTCCTTGTATTGTAACTATGAATATCACAGACAAATTGCAAACCTTCCAATATGTGTTCGGGATACATTCCATTCATTATTTTGTAGATGACTATCATTGTATTGTAAAATATATTTTGTTTGATACTTAATAAATTAGTTTCTTCTAACTTGTCTTTAATTCTAGTGTATCTATTACATCTTAATATACATCTAAGTTCTCTGTAGTGAATCTATATCACCTTTCTGAAACATATATAATATGGAGGAACAGTAGTTAAAGTTTGGCATGACTATTGTTTTATATATAAGTAGTGAGGTCCATGAACTAAGGTCCTTTGTTACCCTACACATTAAATTAACTTTTTTAGAAACTTTTTTTATAATATAATCTGCATGACTATTGAATGTTAAATTTGAGTCTATCATAACTCCTAAATATTTATACTTGTTAATCTGTTTAATCTTATCATTTTCAATTATAAGTCCGTCGTGCAGACAAGTATCCTGAACATTAAATTTAGATTTCAGTATCATACACTTAGTCTTGTCAACATTAATACTAAGACTATTGTTCCCTAACCAGACATATAATGTCTTTAAGTCTTCATTAATCATTTTAACTAAATTGTATATGTTGTCACATTCCATGAACAAAATTGTATCATCTGCAAACAACTGAATTTTGCAATTTTTTACAGCCTTTACAATATCATTTATATACAGCACGAATAGATCATGACCCAACACTGTTCCCTGAGTCTTTTTTGTCTTACAGAAGATATGGAGTTTTTGTACTTTGTTCACTGAGTTCTTTGTTCCAAGTATCCTGAGAACCATCTTAAAACGTTGCCTTCAAAGCCATATTTTTCTAGTTTTTTTATCAACAAATTTCGATTTATTGTTTCGAATGCTCTCCTAAAGTCGATAAACAAAACACCCACATAATGACCCACACTCAAAACATTTTTCCATCCTGACATAACAGACTGAAGCGCACTCTCAAATGAATGGACCTTCTCAAAACCAGCTTGGTATTTTGTGAGAAATTTATTTTCTTCTACGTATTGACGTAATTGTTGATTGACAACAGTTTCTGGAAGTTTTTTATATACAGGTACCATATTAATTGGTCTATGCCCTTCACATTTTATTGTTCCACTCACTTTTTCTATAGAGATGACTGTTGATATTTTCCAATCCTGGGGAAAACATCCTATAATAATAAGGAAACATAGAAAATAAAACTGTAAATTTGACACCCTGTATCTCGCAAACTATCAACTTTTAGACTACGGTATGTTTAGGTCAATTCACATATTTTGCTCTGTAGTATCTCCAGTTTCGAGATTTCCTAACCTTTCGCAGATAATATATAGGTTGGGCCAGTGGAAACGAGTTAAGGCCAATTTCTCATAAATAGCATTTGGGAAAAAAATTGCTCGGGATCGTTGATTGCTGAGTCCGTTTCAAATCATTAGAAATGTGATCCTAGAACATTACCATAATCAATTTGTTGGGGTTGTTGATCCAGCCCTGAATAACTGGGGATAACGGGCAGTGGAAGTAGGATCAACCAGCAAGCTCGTTGGTCCTGAGCCAGCCTTAGGGGTGCCCGCGCAAAGAGTTAGGAGGAAGATGGAGACGTCAATTGCAAGTGAACACTCTCAGAACTGGAGAAGCATCTCGAGAAATTTCCGTCAGGCACGGGAACCTAGCGTAGGGCCCAACGCTAAGGATGGACACCTTTGCTTATCCCTGAATAGAGCCAACCTAAGGTTCTGTGAACGCTGCGGGTTAGAGGAAGATACCTCGGCTCACGTTGCAGTGAGGCTCTGGGCTACTACAGGCAGACTATACTGGAGTCCATCACTTTGGACCCCCAGATCGTTAAGGAGCTGGGACTCAAGGCCATACTCTACTTTGCTAGAAGGGCAAGGCTTGAGGTATAGGAAATGTAGAGGTGCATGAGTGGCCGGCTCCTCACGATGGCGGATATGCCTCGAATTTCATAATTCATTCATTCACGCATTCTTTCAACTCCTGAGCAAGACGTACAAGGGTTCCAAAGGAAACTAAGTGCTGTGATACACAGACGAACAAATAGAAAACAGTGAGTCATAAATAAAAAATTGCTCTTGAAATAGCATCAAGTCCGTTGCTCTTTTATCCGCTAAATTATCCAATCACGCTAAAAATAACTGTCAAACTATTTGTTCGCTTGATTAGATTGATGCTGTGTCTGTGTGTGAACCGCCTTAATTACACAAGGATCCTGGCGGTTTTCATTTTGAAAATCTATCGAGAGAATTAGGTCGATGACCTAGTTCTATCGTGGATAACGCTAGTGCTGAATTTTCTACCGTATCATCATTCATCATTGAAATTCGAAATACGAGGGACATTTAGCATTTACTAGGATAGCTGAGAAATTTTCTAGCGTATAAGCAACCAGAAGTCTCATGTTTTTGGATTCTTTGTGGGTATCCTCTTGTAGCATAGTTGTGATATACACGGAGAACCAAATTTGTTTGACGGCTTGAGTTCAATGTGTACGAGATAGAAGTGTGTATAGACACATATGTTAGAAAAAGATAGAAGCCGGCTGGATAGCGAAGTTCATCACCGCGTTGCCTAACAACGCTGACGCGGCAATCCGCCGCGATGCCATTATTTTACATCAGTTAATTGAATTAAGATGCATGTTGAAAGTATGCGTTAGTTTATTCTCTACGCCGAAATAATGGTTTAATTTTGAGGGTACACATTTTTGAATTGTGAATTGTATCGAATCTGCTTAGGTTTGATTCCGGACCAACAAGCCATTCAAATGTATGTATCATCTTGTTTTCACTAACAATAATTGTTTAATCTTTCTTAATGCCCATTCAAGCTTGTGACTCAATATTCGAGAACAATATAACAATTATTAGGCGGTTCCAAGAATGCTAATGTTAAGAATAACTATAACAAAGTTATCAAAACTGTTTAACTCGTGATAAAATTGCCAAACAAATCAATTCGTCTATGCCTATGCAAAATGAATTTTAATATGCAGTATTATCTTCCGATTTCCTGCTAGCAGAATAAAATAATAATGAGGGTGAAATGAATTCACTGCGTTTTTCTGTTTGAAATACGAAACGCTGTATGATTATCATTTTTCTCGTGCGATTATACCTATACAGGGTGTTCCTTAATGATATGCGAATATTTAAGGGTGTGAATCTACATGAAAAATTAATGTTAGTTTGCTTTATAAACTATGGTCCAAAAATATTTCCTTACAAAAAATGGAAATTAATTAATATTTTCAGAACCGCATCAGATATTTCACTGATATTTATTTAGTACGTAGTGAAAGTTAAATATTTTTTAGCTTTAACAGTGGCGTGCGTACGGGTATTGACTTCGATATTTTTTAAGAAAAAAATGGTACGGCAATGGTTTTTTGCCAAATAAAAATTATTTTTGAATTCCCCGTTCAATTTAAAACAAATGATCTCTCTTTAATTGAGAACATTAACGTTACATTAAAACCAACGAAATGCTTACAAAAATTGTTGAAAGTGGCCCCCTTCACTTAGTATGCATGCTTCCGCCCTCCTTTTCAAGGAATTGCGCACTCATTGAAATATCCCTGGAGTGTTTTTTATTCTATCACAAGCTGCAACTATTCTTTCTCTTAATTCCTCTACAGTGTTGTTGAAGAAAATTGAGGTAAGTCTGTCCGGCAAGTCGTCCCGGCAAGAAGAATGGGCCAATAAAGTGGTTGTCAATAATTCCATACGTTAACCGAAAATTGGTGTTTTAAATGGGTTTCGGTTACGGCATAGGGATTTTCTTCTGCCCACAAATGATTATTGTTGAAATTCTGAATGGAATTTCGAGAAAAATTAGCTTCGTCCGTGAACAGAATCATTGATTCAAATTGCGGATTTTGTGTAATTTTTTGAAGATACCACTGACAAAAGGACACACGCCTTGGAAAATCAATGGGAAGTAATGCCTGTACTCTTAAAATATGGTAAGGATACAACAAAAGAATTCACTAAAATACTCCAAACAATTCGATGGCAAATATTTAAGTGTCTAGCGATCTTCCTCGT